GTTTCAGCAAAACAGTTTTTAAAATATAAACAAAATTATATTTTAATTGAAAAATATTAGATAAAATTATTTTTTATATTCAATATGTTTTACTTATAATAAAATGCTTGAAGAACATCTTAAATATTACTTTAGGCAACACCTTTTTTTAAATTTTAATTTACCTTTTTTTTTTAATTTGTTTAAAAGATTCTTTTTGACCCTTTTCATAGATCTGCATCATGTTTAACAAGATTTGTGCTGTTTAATTAAGAAGACAGTTCAAATCCTTCTAAGCCTGATGCAGACCTGTGAAATGGGTCAAACATTCTTTTATAGAAATTAGCATTAAAAAGTATAAGGTGGTGTTCAAGCTAAATTAGTGTCAGCCTATATAGAAGTGTTTTTAATGATAAAATGACTTTCCCATTATAACTGAATCATTAAAGAATCATCTATTAAAGTTTGTGTTTAAATTTTTGAATGCATTTTGTGCGATTTTAAGTAAAAATAATTTTGCACTAAAGTTATTGCAGTTTTGAGTTTTAAAAATTGATTTTTCAAGATGAATTGGTTTAGGCATTTGTTTGATTCTTTCCTCAAATAACTAAGTGCAATTGTACATTAGGAAATCCTAGTTAGTGAATGAATTCAAAACTTGGTTAACTTGTGGTGGTGGTTATTTGTTTGGCTCATTGCATCATTTGCTGAACCTTATTTAGTGTTAAATACAATGGAATTACAGCATTTACCAGGCAAGTCGATTTGTGAGAAGTGTTAAAAAAAAGTGCATGTTTTCATTGCCTTTCTCTGTTATCACATTGGCCAACGAAAGAGTTTTCAATGATGTGACCTTAGATGACATGATGGAATAGGATTTTTGAGTAAAAGAGAAGTAGCTTAATTTGTTTGGGTAATGTTGCAATATTAACTTTATCTCCAATAAGATTAAGATTACACATTTATTTTCTACTACGCAATAAAAGCATGCATATCTATTTATAAATGGAGAATTTTCACGTTTTGAAAGATCAATTCTGGATTTTCCAATCCCATTCCATTCTTAGGTTTGATGTTTGTTTACAAGAACTGTACATTCATTAATTAATAATGTAAATGGTTAATTTTTCTAAACTAAAATAAACTTTACAAAGTATTCAAAAGAATTTTTGGAATTGGGAGAAATTTTGGTATTGTCCTATCACTAAAGCATCTTAAAAACTAAGATGCTTTAACCACTTGGAAAATAGTTTTTTAGTGAAATGTGCTAAAAAAGTTGTTGCTACATCTAAATTNCATCATTGAAAACTCTTTCGTTGGCCAATGTGATAACAGAGAAAGGCAATGAAAACATGCCTTTTTTTTAACACTTCTCACAAATCGACTTGCCTGGTAAATGCTGTAATTCCATTGTATTTAACACTAAATAAGGTTCAGCAAATGATGCAATGAGCCAAACAAATAACCACCACCACAAGTTAACCAAGTTTTGAATTCATTCACTAACTAGGATTTCCTAATGTACAATTGCACTTAGTTATTTGAGGAAAGAATCAAACAAATGCCTAAACCAATTCATCTTGAAAAATCAATTTTTAAAACTCAAAACTGCAATAACTTTAGTGCAAAATTATTTTTACTTAAAATCGCACAAAATGCATTCAAAAATTTAACACAAACTTTAATAGATGATTCTTTAATGATTCAGTTATAATGGGAAAGTCATTTTATCATTAAAAACACTTCTATATAGGCTGACACTAATTTAGCTTGAACACCACCTTATACTTTTTAATGCTAATTTCTATAAAAGAATGTTTGAACCAATTTAAGTCCAACCAAAATTGTTTACTGCGCCAACACCAAAAATAAAAATATACTGTGGTCCCCCACACATTTATTTACAACAAAACATTTTACAATTATACAGTATTTTGTATGTATTTTAATATAAACTTATTTTTCACTTAGTCTTTTTAATATCAACAGGTATTTTCAACATTGCACAACATAGTTGGTTTTTTATTGGTTTTTTTCATTTTCATTGGTCAATCTATTACAACTTTTAATTTAACAATCTTCAATTTTGAGAAAAAAGATTCACAAAGATAGGTGATTCCCATTTGCAGCTGTAATGCTCATTGCCAGTTTTTTTGGTTTGGGGATTTTTTCTTTCCGGTTTTTTTTTTTTTTATAAAATTGAACTTTGTCGTTAACCTCAAACATATATTTCAATTCAGATGATGGCTGGAGATCTATTAACTCCATCTGCAAATTTGTTGGCATTGATTCCACATCAATCTCTAAAATTTAGATGGTTCAGAAGAGCTGTGTATTTTTTTCCAGCTTAAATCTAAAACATTTTTAGTGTAATAATTCCTACTAACTAAAATTTCACTTAAATTGGCACATTCAAATGTAATTTCAAGTAAAAACTTTTTTAGCATTACAAATATTTTGATTTTATTCAAACTTGTCTCTGAAATTTTTATTTTGATTAAGATTATTTGCTGGAAGTTTTTTGCATAATAGTCCTCAGCTTCTAACAATATCACCCCCCCCCAATTTTCCAATGTTCCTGCCTTGATGGTTATCATTTCATCGATGGTGACCCATATAGGATTATCTTGGCTTTCTTTCTGAACTGATATTAGTGTTTCTTTATATATAAGAACTAAAATAATTTTTGCATAATGTTGGCTTATCTAGAACTGATATATGTGAATTTTTCCAGAAATTCTTTAAAGGCTGCATTATTCACTTTACAGTGGAATATCAGCACTTACTAGGGCATGATAGAGATCTGTTCTGAATTTGTTTTGAGGATTTTGGTTGGGAAATACTTTTTGGGAGCAGCTAGAAGCTGTTGGGTGAATTATTCTCTATTCTGCTTTTTGTGTAGATGCTTATAGAAATGTGTTGCTGTATTTGGAATTGTTGATTTTCTGGCATTGTTACTTCACAAACACAGCAGATGATCCTTCCCTCTTAAATTCTTCACATTTGTTTCTCTATAATCAAGCTGAATTTTAGCATCATTGAAAAGAATGTTAAGAAAAATTTTTTAAATGTTTGTTGCTCCAGAAAATTGTTAGATTGCATTTAGTAGCATTGATGCTAAACTTTACTGTTTATATGGCCAGAAACTAGCCTATGACACCTAATGGTGCCAATAGTAACAAAGGTTAGTCTTCTAATGTCTAATTGCTAGTAGGGATTTTTTTTTCTGGTGAGTGGACATGACAGAATTGAAGACATTGGTTTCTTCTACATCTTAAATCTATATATATATAAAAATGAATGTGTGTGTGTCTGTCCTTCATGCATTACCACACCGTTTATCCGATTGCCGTGAAACTTTGGGAAGTTGTTTAATATACTCCGGTGAAGGTTTGTGGCATAGTACGATTGCCATAAAACTTCGGAAAGTTTTTTAATACACTCCCGCGAAGGTTTTTGGCATAGTACATTTATCCTACGATAGATGGCGCGCGTTTACACGAGCATTCGAGCACAGTGTGTTCGATCGATTTCAAATTGTGAAGACCATTTCCCCCTTCAAAAAATATTTCTATATATGCATTTGTGAACTGTTATTTACGATATTCGTAATAATGTTTGTTTAATCACTTTATTTCAACTTTTTTTTGCTAATTACGTATTCGCTCGAACTTTGTTAAAACTTTAACTGTATACCGAACAACAACCGAAGTTGTAGAAGGAAATTCGCCTATTTTACCGATCTAGGGATCCCCTTTTCCAAATTTTAATATCATCTAATAATTTAAAAAGACAAATTACAATAAAACGGTTTATTATCCAACTATCAGAAATTTCACAACATGCCAAGGAAGAGAGGAAGGAGCAATTAAATAATTAAAATTATAAAGGATTTAAAAATATATATAAAAATGGGGAATATCGCACTTCTGACAATCGCAGCGAGTGTGTGGGCTAAATTTGGAGAATCCGTGCTTCTCGCATGGACAACTGTATGTGGCCGGCTCACGCGTCGGAAAACCTTCCGATTTATTCGTGTACGCACCAGACGGAAAAACAAAAAATATCGTGTATCCACAAACACTCCAATAAATAAATAGAATTGAAACGACACTTTGAAATGTTTTCCCGATAAAAATTAATAATAATAATAAGTTTCAATAAAAATAATAAAATGTAAATTGAATTTTATCATAATGAGTTTGCTTGAATTTCCTTTCTTCTGAGATCGCAGCAATGCGCGACGGGTAAGCTAGTTCTGAAATAAAGTTGAATGTCACTGTTAGGTCTAAGTTTTATTTGTAAGGTGAGTTGGCATGAGATGGCTGTCACTGTCACCATTAATCTTAATCCCCAGCAGTTGAAGTTGGTCAGTCTTGAGAATGCTAAATGGTCACCCTGGAACCAGGTGCAAAATTGAATGCATCTTTACGGCACTAGGAACAGGCAGATGTGAATTATTATCTATAGATGGACCCAGAAAACATTTCCCACTGTTTTTGTGTAGAATGACAAATTTTAATGAGCTCATTGGCTTTGAGAATTCTAGTTCAATTGAATAATCTCAACATGTTCCTGCTAGTATTGATGCTATAGGAAATGAGCTTACATCATGTAGCTTTAGTTGTACCAGTTTTTCCAGACTAAATCACTTGTCAAATGTATAATTGATAAAATTAATTTTGAAAATTTGATCTTGTGCAAAATGATTGTCTAAGAATTTTCTAATATTATACATAGATTAAGCTTTTGAAGAAATTACACATTGTATTTTGAGTTTATTTATAAAATTAAGCTTCAAATACTTATTTTTCATTTAAGACTAAACTGAATTTACTAAATACTTAGCCATTTTGAAAGTGGTTTTTTTTAATTTTTAACGTTACAGCCCAAGTCACCATAATCTGAAACACATTTCATACATGAATTTTTTCTGTTATATAATATTTTTGGTTGCTTCAAATTACTTGTTAAGAACCTCTTGCATTTCAGTGAAAAATTAAAACTAGATTTTTTTGCAGATTGTGTGAATTATGGCTCCTCCAAGTTTTGCAGATTTGGGTAAACAAGCACGTGATATTTTCAGCAAAAACTATCGTAAGTATCCTTTAAGTTCAGTAAATTTTAATCCTTGTCTGCTTAGTAGTTAGAAATTTCAATACTTGTAATTTTGCTTTCTACAATAAAACTTGAAGTTTAGTATTTCAAAGACAATTTTTAAAAAAATTTTTTCAAAAAATCTTGTATTAAATATGAATTATTTTTCTAAATTTTTTTGCAGATTTTGGCTTAGTAAAACTAGAATGCAAGACAAAAACTAGATCAGGAGTTGATTTTACAGTAAGTGGAACATCAAATAATGATACTGGAAGAGTTAATGCCTCATTGGAATCAAAATACAAGCTTTCTGAATATGGTAATATTTTTGTTCAAAGTAATAAGTTTAGAATAAGATCAATTTAGTTAAATGTTTTTAATTTTCAATTTTATGAACATATGAACTTAAATCAAAAAATTAGTAGCCATGTTAATCTACTGGAACAGTATCAACTATAATTGATATGATAGATCTAAATTGTTTTATTGAAATAATCTATTGTAAGTTTTTTGTTAAATTTCTAACAAAACCTGCATTGAAGCTTTTTCCCCAATTCTTAATACCTTAACAAAATTTCATCTGAATAACACTATCAAACCTTCAATTAATTTAAATCATCAAATTTACTTCAGCTTGTAGGAATGATTTTTCTCTATGGATATATTGCTTTTATGCAAAACTTTGAATCCTAACCCACTAGTAAATGTCAACATCTTCATTAAGGCTGGTAAGTTCTATTTGGTATTTGCAGTAATCTTCACATCCAATCTCTGATTTTCAATTATTAAAATATTCCACTTTAAGATTGACATTTAAAATAAAATTTTAAATATCTAAGTGAAGAAAAATTAAACTCGTGTCCTTTTTGAAAATCTATTATAGAACAAATTGAAAATAAATTATTTATTATAAATTTGTAAATGTTAAGGAATTATCAAAGTATTATTCAAAAAATTCAGTTTTAAGATGAACTTTGTTTATTTCCTAATAATCTGTTCTGTTCTGTGATCTGTTCTAATATATATTTTACTAACTGATTAAAATATACATATTACTGCTGATGACAAAACATAATTTTTTGTCTTGGTAAGTTAAGTTACCTGCCTCGATTATAACACCCCCTCTTGCAATCAGTTCTGTTTTGTCCATTATAACTTAACCATTCTAATAGTCAGTTCTGACTAGAATAATAGGAAAATTGAGATGGATGAAGGATCAAGTCAGATCTGTTAGCATCCATATTAACTTCTGTTATAAGTTGTTTACATCAATTTTATGAACTTAAGATGAAATTGTTGTGTTGTAAAGTTTGTTCTCTCTGATATTTAAAAATATACAGAGTGAGTTGGGAGGGGAGAGAAATCAGTTTGGAAATGATAGTTTGGACCATTGTTGAACTTTTTGCACATGAGTATTATTCTCAATGATTTCAGAGATACAGCTGTTTGCCAAGTACAAGTAGGAGCAACTTTCAGTTTGAAGAGTACTTGACAATTTACAGCATCTCCTAATACTGAAGCATGTATTATGTCATGTTACAGTATTGCCATAAGCAGATGTTAGACCTGTTGATAGTGATTTGGAATGAAATTTACAGCACTTAGGCTTACAACTGACTCATCTACAGAACACTGAAGCATGTACTAATTTGTTATGTACTCAATGGATTGCAAGTATTAAAACTTTGAACAGCTGTCTTAAACTCCTGAATGACTCTCTTCAAACTTTTTAATTACATCGTAGGTAATATCAATGTTTACAAATTTCCCCAATTGACTTTCTTCTCTTCCTGACTCAACCTTAACCTAAATAAATAAGGCATTAAAGTTCTGCATTCTTTTTTATAATTTGCATAACATTCAGTTATCATGATATAGTTTATACTTAAAGACTACACTATGCTTAATTTAAATAAGAATGCATTCATAATTTATGTTTATAGTAGTAATGAATATTCTTAAGCTTAATGTTACTTATGCTATAAAAATTAATTTTTTGTCAAGGAATTACAATGAAAGAAAAATGGAACACAGATAATACACTAGCTACTGAAATTTCTATGGAAGATCAGTTAATTAAAGGCTTAAAAATTGCTTTTGATGCTACCTTTGCACCTCTCAGTGGGTAATTATTATTTTTTGTTTTATAAAATTTAAAATTTTATTTTTAAAAATTTTAATTGAGATCTTAATTTGTAGGAAGAAAACTGGAGTTATGAAAACTGCATTTAAGAATGAAAATGTTAATTTATCTACAGACATAGATTTTGATTATGCAGGACCAGTAGTACAAGGTTCAGGTGTAGCTGGGTATGATATTTGTTTTAAGCAGTCTTTTGAGTTGTAGCAGTTTAAGATGTTTTTTGTAAAGTTAATGTTAAATGTACTAATAGCATAAAGTAACTATTCATTAAGATTGTTTGGATTTTAATATTTATGTACTACTTGCCACAAGCATCAGGATATCAATTTTTACTAGCATGTGAGAGAAATGATTATTGGTCAACAGAATGAAATTATTGCTGTTGCGAAAGTGTTTTTGGTTAAATATTTATCTGGCTTCATTTTAATTTAGATTCATGTAATGCAAATTTCATTAGGAAGCAATTTTACTTTTCTTTGTTATGTATACATGACAGCTGGGAAAGTATTGGAATCGTGTCAAATTTCACCCTCAGTTTTTTCTAATCTCCATGTTTTGAGACCACCTGAACTGAAAAGTCAAAACCATCTGTTGGTGTTTTTTCTTTCACTTAATATCTCAGGATGAGGTAAAGATTAAGAAATGAAATTTTGGCAGTAGCTTGTATGAAGGGCATTGATGCTATTAAATTTTTTGGTGAAAGGATGGGAATGAAGATTTTGTTGTTAACATTTACACTTTTTATAAAATTCAAACCTACCCTCAAAATTAAGCTTTTTTGCCATTTTATAGTAATTAAGATTTTTATAACAAAATCTGATAACAGATGATGCCAAACACTATTTTGCTTAATAATAAAGATTTTTTAAAATAAAAATGCTCAACAGCCAGGAAAGTCAAGCAACTCTTGTTGCTAGATTTTTAAGGTTTTTGATTTAAATGACAGCTTTTAAAAATTAAAATTACCTTAGATATTTAATGTTATTTTTCATTTTAATTAGAAATTTATCTTATGCACTGGTATGTTCTGTTAAATTAATTTCACTTTTATAACTAATTTTTGTTTTTCAATTCTATATATCTAAGATATATGCAATTTTTAAAAATGATCTAACTTAACCAGTTGGTTGCACAGTACTCCAGTTGGAGTAAGTGTCAAATTTTTTTTTTGTAATTAACTAGTTGGTGCCGATTTTAAGCACTGATTGGCATTTATCTACATAGACTAAGTCTGTTTCAACGAATAAGATATTTTTTACACTCCCTATGTTTAAATTTACCCAGAAAACTCCTCCTTTCCATGTTAAGTCTATGGGAGACCCATCTTTCGTTCATTGGACAATAAAATTCTTGTTTGCACTTCTGTTGAGCTTTAATTGGTATATTATAGCTAAATGACTATCCTTTAACGAATAAACATTGACTTGGGTTTGTGGGGTGGGAACTTTCTTGGAAAAAGTTATTTTTCTCGGAGCTACATTGTTAGCTACAAAAGTAAACAAACAATTATAAATCATTATTCTTGTTTTTTAGCTTGAATGTAGTAAATTTTTATAAATATTTATCCTGTTTAACAAATAAGCATGTTTTTTAAACCATCCAGCCATAAATCTTTTAAAAATCAAAGTACTTCCGGTTATCATGGAACTTTCGTAATACGTAAGAAATACATGTATAATCGTTAATATAATAAAGTAGTAATCACTTGATATATACCACTGTTAGTACAATAGTGTAAATAACATAAATAGAATCAAATATACATTATCAATACTAAAAAGTGTATTGACCTAAATTTAGAATAACCACCACCCCCTTCCACGCTGATCGGCGTTATAATCTATAGGTCGTATTATTTCTTTACATCGGTTTAGAAAGCTGCAGTTTTTTTTGTGTGAATATAGACCTATTTAACATATATAACAGATTAATCAGATGTTTGTTAAATTTTTTTAATTTTTTGAATTCTTGAATTCCATAAATTTTTTTAAATATGTACATAATATTTTGAAGTAAACATTCATAAAGTGTGATATGTGAATGATAAAAGGCAAAAAACAGATCAGATCTACAATAATTTTTAAGTGAAATATTGCAAGTTTTAAAAATTACTATAAAAACCAGAATGTCACGCAACAATGGTATTGTTTCAGATTATCGAGATGCACAGCTGACTGGTTAAGCTTTAACTTATTTAAACATCTATCAAATTAAGTTTTTATTGTATAAGATATACATCATAAAGGCTAGAGCAAACTGGATACTATAATGTATAGTGCTACAATGCTACAAAAGCTCCATTACAAAGCTAAATATGCTGTAAACAAAGTCCCACACATTGCATAAACATTAGCAAGAACTCATTGAATAAATAGTGCTATATATTAGTGGCCAGTGTGCACCAGCCTTAAGTGTATTAAGTAGCTTTTGATGTAATCCAACCTCACTTAACCTAATCATAAATTTAATAGACTGGTGTTTTAGTTGCTAATTGTGTAGTCTGTTGTTCAAATGGCTATGCAATTTCCTAACATCTTAAATTATTTTTAAGTGCCTTAAGATTAACTTTTCAAATTTTCAAAATGCAATAAGTTTTTCAATTTACTTTTACTGCTACATATATAAAATTAATTTTATGATAATTCTCAATACTCTGCACACAACTTGAACTCTGATGTAACCATTATATGATTTTCAAGTGGATACAGACCCTTTCACTGCATTTGAAGTGTAAGGTTAACAGGTTTTTGAACTGAGTTCTATCATAACTTGTTTGTATAATACATTTAGAAATATGTAAAAAAAAGATACTTGACCATTTAATTTATTTCATTAAAATTGTCTTTTGTTCGTGTTAATGTGGCAACTCTGCTTCTCTTAACTGAAGAATCTACTTCAAACTGATAAAATATTGTCATAAAACAATATCACATTAATATTTTTTCCTCAATATGAATGGAAACAACTTCTGATATCCTACTGTTACAAAACACATGCATCACTAATCATCTAATCAAACTACAATGCATAAAGGAATAGCTTGTTTGCTATGTTATGCATTCTTTTGGGATTTATATTCATTAACTGTAGTAAATCAGTTCTACTATTTATGGAATTAATTTGTAAGATAGTGTTTTAATTTGGAGAATAGTACTGTAGTATGTCATACAAGGAAGACAGTGAGTGCATTAGCTAGTAATGGCTAGATATGTTATATCGTGCCATTTGATATATTGCTTATCTAGTTTCTTTTCTACAGGTGCCAATATAGTGGGACTCCTGTGTTTTTTGCCCTTTTTGTGAAGTGTGTAAAGTAATGAACAAAAATATAAGGTCGTAAAAAATGTACTTTATTATTGCAATATGTAGGACAAATGATTACTAATTGTATAGGAAAACATCTGCATAAAGGGTTTTTGTAAAAAGATGTTTCACAGTCTGTTACTTAATTCACTGTTCGGCATCTTGCACCTGATCTGTTAAAATTTTTAGCACTATTGATTCTGATATTTACTTCAATTATTTTACTGTTCTAATAACTTATCACTTTTTATGATATATATTTGTTTAGTATTGTTGAGTAATTGGTAAGCATGTTGTAGGCAAGATCACAACAATCATTCAATACAAGTTTTATCAAAGTATCTTTTAATTAAACTATTGAGTGAGCAATATTAAGAAATTTCAATGCTATTTCTTTTTTGAAAATAAAGAAGCTTTATCTTAAATATTGGTAGTCATTGTAAGTGTCATAATTTTCTTTAAATACCATATCTACTCGCATATAAGATGAGGATTTTATTCCTTTTTCACTCCTTCAAAAACCTAGGTCATCTTATATGCATGTTCGAAGGATTCTTGGCATTTTTGCAATAATTTTTGTGACTAGTTTATTCGCATTTTTTACTGGATGCTCACCTTTATGGTGTTTAATTTAAACAAAAGTGTTTTATCTGGGTCATTTTGAATCATTCTTGTGTATTGTCAGGAGTAAAGATTAATAGCAATAGGAAAAGCAAAGCTTTTGAATTGAATTTCAAATTGAAATTCCAAAATCACACGGGAGCACGATATAAGTTTTAATCCATTCCCACATGAAAACGTGATTATTTTGGAGAAACTCTAAGTGTAATCGGCAGAGAGTGAATTTGATTGTTAAGAATTTTCATAAAAGGTTTCAGATTTACATGAAGAAATTATGTTGATTTTTACAAGATTTTTCCTTAAAGTTTAAAATGTCTGTAATTTCTGCAGGTCAATGTGTGCATTTACATGCATTTGATATTTTTTGTGATTAAATGAAATAAAATTAGAATTTATTATCGGTAATAAATCTAATTTTCTTTATTTTAATCTTTAGTCATACCTTGTCATATATGCAAGTAAATACAGTAGTTAAATGCTGGCCCTCTAGCTACATATTTATATGAATAATTTTTATGCTTTTTGTCCACATCTAGTTCATAATGTCCAAAGTAGACAAAAGCATATGTAATTAAAGACACGAAGTACATATTAAAATATTTGTTTTAATACATTGTTTATCTAAATGGTCACTTTTGATTGTAAAGAATATTTATATATAATAAACATCTTAACACAGTAATTTGCCAAATTCTAGTTTGATTATTCAGGTGATTTGTTGATTGTATCTATTTGTAAAGAATATTGTTAAGACTTAAAATTGCAAGTATTAAACTTCAGTTTAGATATTCTTTACAATCAATAGTATGTTTTTGATTTTAAATGTGAACAAATTTTAGTGCCTTTTTATCAGTTTAAATATTTAAATTGCCTTTTTTATTTTTAGTTATCAAGGATGGCTTGCTGGTGTTCAATTAGCTTTTGATACTGGAAAAAATAAACTTACTAAAAGTAATTTTGCTGTTGGGTATGCCACTGGCGATTTCATGTTAAATACACATGTGTAAGTAATTTGTTGAATTATATAATTATAGTTACAATTTTATATTAGTATGTAGTATCCTAAAAATTAAGTAGCTTTTAATTAAAACGTAAATCGATATGGTTAATGTATTAAACAATAATAAATATTTTATTGAAAGAAACTATCGAGCTGTAACAAGACAAATCTAAAAATTAAACAATATGGTTTAAGTTTTGTGTTTTTTTATTGTAAATTGATAATTTATTAAAAATATTTTAGCATAAAGTATCTAAGCTATAAACTAGCACTAAGCTGTTTAACATGATTTATTAGATCCAGCCATCTTTAGTCTGAGCATGTGAAATATTTTACTTTGTATAAGTCAGTTAAGCAAACTGGAATAATTCAGTAACCTTTGAAAAACATTTTTCTTTATTCATGTGTTAACTATAGAATAGCAAGAATATTGAAGATTAAATTCTATTATTTTCCATTTTTTAATTTCTATTAATACAAACTTTATCCTACTTAATGAGAGATTACTAACTACAGTGGAACCTCGGTATACGACCTTAATCCGTTCCTGGTGTTTGGACTTATACCGAATAGGACGTATACCAAACCAACCTTTTCCATAAGAAGTAATGTAAAAATGATTAATCCGTTCTCATGTAAAAAAAATGGCTGGCTTTAAACACCTCGCTTTCCTCGCTAGTTTCTGCTTGATTTTTCATGAGATCAGCATGTATCCTTTTAACTTTCTCGCAAATAATTTCTTCCGATACGCTGTCGCCAGCACACTGTTTTTCAGTTATCCAAAGCAAAAGCAATTTCTCGACATGATCTAATGTCTTCGATCTCTGTTTAGAAATTGATTTAACCCCTTTCGCAACGTTAGCAGATTTAATAATGTCTTTATTTTTCACGATTGTCGATATCGTCGTTCTCGGAATACGGTATGCAACAGTTAAATCTCGAACACGCGTGCCACCTTCATATTTCTCAACAATCTCTTTTTTCAGTTCCATTGTCATTTTTTTATTTTTCTGTTGCCTTTTTGCAATTCATGATTAATAAAAATAATAAAATGTTACTTACAAATTAAAATCAGAAGAAATTTAACAAAGTTATAAACCGTGGCATCGCGAACGTCTAATCTGGTCTAGTACACCGATAGTGCTACTTGTTCATAGATGGCGCTTATAATTGAATTAAGTTGTATATCGAACAAAAGTCGTATGCCGAGCAAAATTTTGTTTCGTCCAAACAGGACGTATGCCGAATTGGACGTATTTTAAAGTAGACGTATACCGAGGTTCCACTATACTTTGTCTCCAAAAACTTGATTAATTCCCAAATATTTAAGACCCATTTTAGCTTATCTTCAGGGACTTCTTCCTTTACTGCAATTTATAGTATGCAAACGTATATTTCAGGAATTCTATATTGCATAAATTTTCCAATTTGTTTTAGCTTTGAAACATTCTTTTTTTTTTAACTTATTCTGTACAGTGCTCCCTCCCACATTTTCTTTTGCAAACTTCCATTTTTTTTTTTATTTTTTGCTCTTTTCTCAATGACCCACTTCCAAGCTGATGGTAATAATTCTTTATCTTTGACATTAAACACTTCAAAGTAACACCTTTTCTTCCCAATTCCATAATTTATTTGCCATTCAAATATTTTCCTCTTCCCTTATTTCTTCCAATAGGTCCACATTATTCCTCCATATAATTTTCTTTTGCCATTTAGTTTCAAGCATCCTTGAATATTATTATTCTACCTTTTTTCAAACAGTCCTCCCAATGTTCCTTGAGTCTTTCACTTAGTCCTCTTCATCACTTCACTGTAATTTGCCTGATCCAGAGTCAGTCCTGTATGACCACTGTGATTGTCAAGAACATGAAGAGTGGGATTTCTGTTTTTAATAAAATTTTCTAGGTCATTTCCTCAAGTTTGGTAGAAGCTTGGGCTTCAGGAATCTGCAAGTTATGTTATACTTATTTACTTATTCCAGTAAATATCAATGTAATAATAACTGTAGGGTCACTGAAATAATATATACAAAATTTTTTACACTAAAATAGTCAATGCCAGAAGAATGAAACATTTACATAATGAAAACCCTTACCCTTAAAGGTGAGGAATCGTTAGTTGTTGTTTTTCCAATACCAGTATCTGAAGCAAATTTGAATGACTTAAAATGGACATTGTAACAGGATTTATAGATAAGGATGATGAGTAAACAGAGCAGTTTTAAGTTTCAACCTGATTCACATAGTTCTATATAAAATTTTTGCAACATGTATAGTTCAAACAATTCTAATAAACTAGAGTAAGAGTAAAGGTATTTCATTTTGTTAAATAATGGCATTTAGAACACACACACAGCAATCTTTACCTATACAATGTCATGTCATATATGATTGTGACAAAAGCTAATGTCCATTGTCAGTTTGTTACAAATGGTATGTTTGACTACTGTTGTCAGTTTTATCTTAATGTTTCTTCAAAATATCTGCTAATGTAGTAGTCATTGATAGCTGTCTACCTCTCAGAATAATCATTATTGAAAGGCTAATTTTTGATTTTTCTGTTTATATAGAACACTGATTAGATAAAGTACTGCCCTGTGTTGCAACACTAGTATGGTGTTTGGTGCATGTCATAAAGGAAGCATAGATTTGTGCCATATTGACTGCTTATGAAATCTTTTACTTCTATTAATTTTATATTTCCTCCTTTTTTTTCCATCAATCACTCCACCACAGCAGTAATATAAATAAAATTTTGGTGCTTACTGCAGAACTAGGAAATTAATGTGTCAGAAGTTTATCATCATCACTTTTATTCCTTTACAACTCAATGCAGAACTGCTTTAAGTTTGTAAAGTTACATTTAGTGTTTCAAACTAGACTATTTGAGTGGATTTAAAAATATTAACACTTGCTTCAGTGTATTGCAATATTAGTCAGTATTTATTTTCATTAGCCATGTTTAATAGTATATTTATTGGTATTAATAGTATATTGTCTTAGTTGAAAGGTTGGAAAATGGAAGTGCAGGTTGTAGAGAAATAAGATATAAATGTGTTTGGCAATTGCACTTGTGTGCACTTAGTTATTAAGTGATTTTTTTTTCCTTTGTACTGTACATCAATCTAATGAAAGGAAACCTAACCCAATAATGGAAATATTGTTCATTGTCCATGATCTTATGGTACTACTTGTAGTAAACATTCTAGTTTGAAACATTGTAGATTTTTATACTTTGCAGTAATTGTGGCCTGTGTCTATAGAATTGGCACATAATAGCAGTTAATCTTTTGAATTTTTTCCACTTTTTTTGCATTCAAGGATTATCTTGTATAAAACACTGATGAAACAAGATTTTTTTTCCTAAAAATATGTTAGTCTTTAGTTCTTTGAACATAGGCAGTCAACTTGTGCAGTCAACACTGCTTAATGATTGTGTAAATGATTGCAAAGGTACAAAGGATTGAATTATTAATTAACTGGAAGATATTTGATCTCATAACAAACCACTTATGTATTGCTTTGTCTGCAATACCTTTTTCCCCTTATCCTAGTATATTAATCTATACTGCAGTTTCTTTGTTTTAGGAAATATAGGTTCTGATGGGAATTTGATTTTTTTATTGCTTGCCATTTTTTCTGAATTCAGAATGTCTAATTATAAAATTAGTAGTATTCATTTTCCATGAAATTTCTTATTCACGCTTTTATTTAAACTTCTACCTAGTTATCTAGGTAGACAATTTTAGGAATATTGGATCAAACATGAATTGTGTTCACTAATTCAAGACTTTCCTGATATAAAACTTAAATTTTTAGATTTAATATAATTTGATTTTAACATTTAGATCAATGTTTAATGACTAATTTTTCATAAATTCAATAAAATAGAAATGATGGACAAGAGTTTGGAGGTAGCATTTATCAAAATATTGATGGTAAACTTGAAACTGGAGTTCAGCTATCTTGGACTGCTGGCAGCAATGCTACAAGATTTGGTCTGGGCTGTGTATATAAATTGGATGATGATACTTCACTTAGAGTAAGCTATGACCATTTTAATTTTAATTTCTATATTTTAAGAATTACACTAAAATTTTATTTTATTTCAGGCCAAAGTTAACAATTCCAGTCAAATTGGTCTTGGTTTCACTCATAGGTTGAGAGAAGGTAAAATTTTTATTTCCATTTTTGTATTTCTTTGATTCTAAGATGTGCTGTAATTTTTCAACTTTTGAGATTTTAGAGATTTAGTTTCCCTCGCGTAACATCGCGTCCCAGAGAAGGCAACGGGAAACCACTCTGGGTTACTAACTTTCCCTAGTATACACCTTGGCGCGTTACTACTTACTAACCTACGCCAGGTGTCGCCGACGTCAGGAATCTGATATGGCACCACGAAGAAGAAGAGATTTTAAAGTATTCAATAAAGGTAACCAGTTTTTTATTGAAAAGTTAGAAAAAAAATAAAAATGCTATGAAGTAGGCAACATTTGGAAGCTGTTTGATACATATATAATTAACTTCAACTTCAAATGCTGGATTGTAAGTTGTCCTAGAGTTTTAAACATTAAAAAGATGTTTTTAAATCCATATCTGCAAAGTTCATTACACCTGATGTAAGTGAATAATAGTAATTGTTATTAACATGCCATATAAACTAGCAATAGCTGCCAGTTGTTTGGCTATGATTTGTAAGTTGCATCTTTATTTTGGACAAGTAAAAATGAGTAAAATGTCTTAGAATGAAGGAAATGCATGAATTAAAATTTTGTATGTGTGTATATATATATATTTATTATTTTAAATTTTAATACTATTTTTACTTTTCAGGTATTCAGTTACATCTTTCAACCATGATAGATGGCAAGAATTTCAATCAGGGAGGCCACAAATTGGGTCTCGGCCTAGAGCTCTCTGCGTGATAGTTCTCTATCAGTACATCAAACATGGATGATTTAATAGAATCAGTTTAGTATGTGAACAAAAAAAAATATTGATACGGTTTAGGTCTGATAGTTTGCAGTAGTTGTACAGTGTGAAGATTCATTACCTGGAAATCGTTCCCTTTTTAAAGCCTAGTTCTTCAACGAACTAGACTTTATTTCATAGATTCAAAATTGTAGCTTTTTCCTATTGGAAACAATTTTTTTTGTATGCAACTGACAAAGTAAAATTGCTATAACTTATTTCATTGTATAAGGTAAAGTTTCACTTTAATCAATTGTCAGTGTTTGATGTGGCCATCTATCTTATGATCTGATAGAAAAAATTTAAATATGAATCTGTTAACTGCTGTAGTTAGTACTCAGAAGAATAAAGCAAACTGGACTATTATTAGAATTGTGTTTAAATACTTAGATCATTAAATTTATTACATTTCGTTTTATACAAACTTACTCCCTTGCAATCATAATTTATATAAAAATTTGTGAAAATTTGTAATACCTTGCTTTTTTTTATCATTTTGTCTTACAGATTGTGTATAGTATTTATAAATTTGCTTAATATATTTAAATTCTTATACAAGAGGGTTAAAACCTGTTTAAAGTATGTAATATGCAAATCAAGGAAACTAAATAAAGGACAGAATCTTTTTTCATTGTTTCAGTAAGTTTAATACTAGTGTTTATACTTATAAAACCTAATTTTATTGGCAATCCCTATTGCAAAACAATTTTTATTGGGGAAAAGTATTAGAGAGGTTGCGGCCGATGTTTTCAACGCGAGAACGTGTACGTCGGATGTTCAGCGCCGCTTTTCTAAAGGCCTAGAAGTTTGCCAATGATGTTCGGGACGTTTAGCATGATTCCACTGACTATCCAAACACCATTGTCAAACTTCTAGGTTTATAGGAAAGTGGCACTGAACGTCCGACGTACACGTTTTTGCGTTGAAAACGTCGGCCGCAACCTCTCTATTATCAAGGAGTTTCAAACTTGCATATCTAGAACACAGATTTTCTCAACTTTAAACATAGTGTTTTTCAGATTTTAAGGTTAAAAGTATTGAGTCTTTATCTAGTTGCAATTATTGTTCACCTAAATTATTGATATTAGGTACTTTACATGGTTCAATTGAATATTTTAATGTCAATTTTTAATAAATATTTTGGCCGTAAGTTCAATATTTTTTCCACAAGCATATTTTGTAATAATTTATAGAGTAACTCAATAGGGCAAGAATAGACTGGGAAGAGTAAATTGATCTAATGCACAACATTTCACTCATTACTTCATGTATATTTTTTTCCTCAAACTCAAATATCTTGGTGTCCTTTTTATCATGATTATTGGCACTTTCACACGCTATTCATAAATTAAGATAATCTTTGAACTTAGTCAGATGATTTAAGTGAAATATTAAATGAAACCTTTTTACTGTAAAACAACAGTGTACTTGGAAAATGGAGAAAAGAACATTCCTTCCATTCTCATAAACAGCGAACAGTTAACAGCATCATACATTTATGCTCTTTTCACTTATGAGGAGTGAGTTGCATTTGAATCCGATTGTAATTAGTGAATGGACAATTCTTTTCCAGAATATAATTAAATTTTTTCGTACAAACTTACTATTTCCCAGATATATTTAAGGTGCATTGCAAAATTTTAAAGCTACCCTAAAATATAAGGTATGTTTTTAATATTAATATCTTTAAATAAAGCAGTGTAAAATTTATTAACAATACTGTAAAATCTCCGGTCTATATGTTAAAATTAACACCGTTTTTCTTAAGGACATTATTTTAGTTAAATAGAATTAGTGTGTTTTCAAAAAGCTTTCGTTTTAGGTCGTATACTTGTTTTAGTCTAAGAACTACTGTGAGTACATAAGTAGTAATGCATATAGAAAGCTCTGTGTAATGAACTCGTACATAATTTAATTATTTAAACCTATAAATTAGAATAAATTACTGTTTTTATTTTTAACCCTCATTTAGAAAACCTACTTCATTATTTAATGGACCCCTGCCCGAAGTAGTAACTAAAATAGGTTTTAAGTATGGGACAAAAGGGCACTCCAAATGTCTTAAATTGACAAAGGCAGAAATTGATTTTTCGGGAACCCGAATTTCCTTTTCTCTACGTGTTAATTTGCCTAGAAGTCAAATTTGCTACTCTTCAGTCATGAACATTGTTGATTTTATAAGTGGAAATCAGCATGCTAAAACTTTGTCCACTAGTTCTCTTGATCAATGAACACGAGTTGGACCCCAGGAATGGGGGGAAAAAGGAGTTGTGAAAAAATTCAATCTGAATGGCATGACATCAGGAAAGTACGTTGTCTAAGGCCAACAAGCAAGGGGGCAGTGATGGTACGGGCAATATAGGTTTTGTCCAAGGTTGTCAGAAATTACTAATCTTTATTGTGAATACAATGCAAAAGCTGATTGAAACAATGAGCTAGTTTACAAAGTTACATTTAAAAAAGGTGACTTCATTAAAGCTATGAAAAGACCATTGGTTTTAAATTATTGCAACACCAAAATTTTTTAAAAATTCCTGTGATATAAAACAATAATAGCTTATTGTTAAAGCGTCGTAAATTTGTAATGTATTACGTTTTAAGGACGTTTTGTTAAAGTTGCATGTGTATTTTAGGATGGATTTAAAATTTTGCAATGCACCTTACAGAAATTTTAACGAAAAAGCTTGAAAAAGGGGGAACGATCTCTTACTAAACCGAAGCAAATCAAGGATGTGACAACCTAATTTTTTATAAAATTGCAACAAGCTGAGTAAATCATTTATTGCGAAGAGTTAAAACTAGGCTCTTGTCATATCCTTGATTTACTTCGTATTATGTCAAATTTTCAGCGTGTTCTATGAAGTGTTGGCTCATCAAATTATTGATCTATAGGAACTTTGCAACTTTAAAATGACAATAGTCTTTCCTGTATCTACGTCCGAACTATTTCCTGCCATTTTTGATGTGACAGAATATTGTTTTTCAATAAAATCTTGCTAGGAAAATTTGAAATGCCTAGCTAATCTTATGGGACTGATTCAGGAAATGGAATTTCTTAGCTTACTCCATTGATTTATTTTAAACAAAATTGTATATATTAGTGGCTTTTATATATAAATAGGTGGTTAGCCACCCAAAGTTAGTATATAATCTAGAATTCCAGCTTGAAATTTGTATTAAAATTAACGAAGATGAATCAGTCGGTGCCGGTGCTCCTATTTATTTCAATCTTTTCTTTCACACACCTTAGTAATATTAGGCATGGTGGCTGTACAAATTATATGCAAAATATAATTGTACAGCCACTAGACGAGTATTTAATTGTAAAAATATTGATAAATTTATTGTCCTGGATAGTTTAATGAGTGAAATCACACAATGTAAGACAAGTAAACAAGATAATCAGCTGAACCAAACGGACTCCATGTTCATGTTACATTAAATTCGGGGGTTAACCATAACTACAATACAGTGGCGTGCCGTGACATTTGATGATAGGGAAGCTGTGTTTCTATAAGAAGCCGACTTCCAGGGGAAATCAATCAGCAATGGTCTAGGGCAGGGGTCGGCAACCTGCGGCTCGCGAGCCACATGCGGCTCTTTGGATGTGAAGCTGCGGCTCTTTAGTTCCATACGCAAATATTTATTTTATCAAAACAAAAAACATTTAAAAATCGTTCTGAACCGATTAACGAGGATTAGGCACCGATTCTATCTCTCAGCCACTTGTACTCGCTTTTCATCGCACCTTTCCCCCGTGACTGGCGTCGTCACTGTCGTCAGTCCGTCGGAAGCTCTCAAATGACGCCGTCGTCAGATGTTTCTGAGGTTTAATTCTCTTTCGACGCAAGACAATTCTGAATAAATAGATTAAATAATTTTTTTTCAAAAAACTTTATTTATGCGAGTACTATTTATTGTTGGCAAGAAAAAATTTTGTGGCTCTTTAAAAACTTTGAAATTTTGTGAATTGTAATTTTTGGCTCTTCCGACTCAAAAGGTTGCCGACCCCTGGTCTAGGGTCCATTCGTATTCGTTTTTTCGATAAGCCAGTAAAAACCGTAGACTTCTCTAAATGCATTTTTAATATCACAATTACATTCCGAATCTCTAGCCACGATATAAGGGCTACAATTAAAAATAAAATAATAAAAACTTACTC